TTCTCCCTCCTCCATTGCCATCTCAGAGCCCTTTGCTGTTCTCTGGTTTCTCTCTTACATTCTCTTCCTTTCTTTATCTCTTTAAAATATTTTTTTAAAACTGAAAAACAATAAACTCATGAAATACTATACAATATGGATGGGTCCGGAGGACATTATGCTAAATGAAACAATTCTATTTCTTGGAGTCCACTTAACCGAACCTAAATAATTTCTTTTTCTACTTCTTTTTGTGTTTGGGGCTTTTTTTTTGTGTTTTTATGTATAGGGTTGGTTTTTATTTATACTGGTTTACTTACATATGCATTTAATATACATTTTAAAAATACATTCTGTTTCTTTTTAATTGAGATATATGATGCACTGCATTACTTAATATGACCCTTGTAGTTTTTGTGAATTTCCTCTAAATCATTGGATGAGGTTATACAAAGGAAGTGGTTGTGGCCCAAGATGATGGCTGGATAGCTTGTTGAAAAGCAAAGAAGGTACGTTGACATTCTTGCAGGGGCGGAACCATACACAGAAGGTGCATGGAAACTTAGGGAGGGGATTGACAGTTTTGCCATCCCACTAAGCTTTAAAAACATTTCCCCAAACACAGGAGAGACTATGTGATCACCAAGAAGGAAGAACCAGGAGTGGAGTGCATCTTTTGGACTTGAGACTCTTGTGCTGAGAACCTTCTTCACCTTAGAGAGAGAGATAAAGTGAAAGTGAGAGAGAAAGAGCGCTGTAACACCAGAGACAGTGAGAAGCAGCTGCAGGGAACAAAGTAGGAGATGGTGTACTGGCCTTCCTGGGATACAGAGCAAGAAAGCTGAGCACCTTTGGACAGGAGACTTGCTGGTGGCGTGGAGTGTCTCCGGACACGTGGTGGAAGTGGACCCACAGACCCACTGAGTGAGAGAACCGAGTGCCTTCAGCCCAAATATCAGTGGTAATACGGGTGCCTCCAAGAAGAACTAAAGGAACTTTGTGATACTTGCTCAAGTAAAGTCCAAGATCAGGGCTGCTCATGGTGGGCAAGCTTCAGTGCAGAGCTTCCATACTAAGATGGACTGGGGAGCAAGACTGGCCAACACACTTCTGCAACAATGGGCCATTGAAAGCCTTACAGATGGCAGCAGGACATTGCCTGATACAGTGGTAGAAGGTCAGCCCCTCAGGCTGCAGGGCGCTCAGAATAGGAAGAGCTGCCTTCTCAAAGCAGAGTCATAGCAGAGATTGTGAGGATGGCAGAGGCCTGGGCAATGTGTTTTGTTGTCCACAGAGTTGCTGTGTGTTGGAGTCCACTCGGTGGCACCTGACAGTGATCGGAATGCCTCGTCTGCCTGAGGTTCAAAGCTCTGCTGAAACCTGCTCACCACCCGTGACCCTGATGCTATTTTCAATACTGGTAGCATAACTTTCCGTGTCAAAGTCAAAGCAAGCTGCCACATTAGGACAAGCAGATAGACACACTAGGACAAACTAGTTGGTTTCTACCTTGTTCCTGTTGTTATGTGTTATCGAATCAGAACTGACTCACAGTAGTCCCTCAAGTGCCTTCTCAGAGGTTACTAATTCCATGGTAGTTGAAAACAGTGTATTAAAATTTTGTAAATTAGTAGAAAAGGAAAAAAACCCAAACACCCAAACAAATTCCATGGTGATTCCCCATCTGTCTCTCATTGAGTGGATCTGAACCATTGGCCTTCAATTTGGTAGCACAACTCCTTACCCTCTAGGCCACCAGAGCTCCCTATCTGAGCACTGCACTTTTTTCTTAATAGCATTTTCACTGTTATATGTACTTCATTACTCTCACTCATCTGTCCCTTGCCCATTTCACCCACAATTCTGTACACTCCATTAGGGCGGGGATCATGTCCAACCAGTTCACTTGCTGACATGTGGTGCCTGGCCTATACTAGGCACAGGATATATGTTGACTAGAAATATTATTTGTTGAATAGAAAGCATTTTCTCTGACTTTCAAAGAGTTTCATACTGCAGATGCCACTCCCAGCATGCTCTTATGTTTATTGGAGTTTAAAGTGGAGATAAATGTACACAGATCAGAGTTGACTGATGTTTACAAGGAGCAGGAGAGAGGGGAGTCAGAGGAGAGAGTTTCTGTATTCAGTGATGGTAAACTTGCCAGTGATTGTGGGTGACGGCTCCACAATGTGGTCAGTGTCATTGGCATCACTAAATTGTCCACGTGGAAAATACTGACTTGACAAACGTTGTGTTACATCTATATGTATAACAATAAAAAAAATTAATAGAGCACAGGTGCAAATGGAGACCAAAAAGTGTCATATGGAGAAGACAGTGATTATTAAAAAAAATATCAAAGATCTTTGATATCGAGCACCTTACAAAAGAGAACAGTCAGGAGACCCTAGAGATTAGAGTGAAGCCACTTTGAAAACTTCTGAAGAGCTGACAGAACTTGGCTGAGAGAAAGCAGGAGTTCAGAGGAGCCGATCTTCAAAGGAAATCTTCGTGGGAAGTAGGAGAGGGCCTGGAGAATTTGGCCCCTAAATAGAATTAGCTCTTTTCATGTCTGTGAGGGAACGAGACTTCTGAGAGACGTGTGGAGATCTGAGGGGGAGAACAGGAGGAACAACCTGTCGAGACTGGGCTCAGCTGCTGTAGGGCAAGCGGGAAATGGCTGGTGACTGACTGCCAGCTTCATTAGACCCTGGCTCCGAGCTCTTTCATTTCCTCCACCTCCCCTAAGCACGAGGCCAGTCCCCCAGGCTTTGTCTCCAGTGGAAGAAAACTGTCTGCAGTTTATGGATACACCGGAGGTGCAGCGGGTCCAGCTTGGTGGTTTTTGTTCCTTTGTATTCTTGTTAGTTTTGTCTTCCTTTGAAATTCCTTGCACTGTGGGTTGCAGTGTGCCAGAAATGGCTCACTCAGTAATATCTCATTTTCCTAAAGAAATTTTTAGTACTACCACTGGTCTGTCAGTTTGTCATGCTGTGGTGGTTTGCAAGTTTCTAGAAGCTATCCTCCTGATAGTTCGAATACCAGCAGGGTCGTCCATGGTGGACAGGTTTCAAGAGCTTCCAGATGTAGATGGACTAGGAAGAAAGGCCTGGCAATCTCATTGTGACAAACCTTACAGATCACATCAGAACTTTGCCCAAGTCACTTGCTTTGGGCACATTTCCAGGAGGGCTCAACCACGAGATGAGGATATCATATTTAGGGTGAAGGAAAGGGCCAATGAGAATGAGGGATACTTGTTGCTAGATGCCCTTCAGTGGAGTATGACCCACATTGACCCTGAGAACAACAGATCTGAACCCTGTCCTATCCTGTGCCATTCTCACACTTCCTGCCCGTTGCAGCAGTCACCATGTCAATCCACCCAGTAGAGGGTCCTCCTGTCCTTCACCAACCCTCTACCCTTCTGAGCATCATGCCCCTCTAAGGAACAGCCCTTCCTAGAAACATGCCCGATGTAATGCCATTGTCCTTGCCTCCAAAGAGCACTCTGGCTGCACCTTCTCTGAGACATATCTGTTTGTTCTTTTGGCTGTCCATGGGATGTTCAACACTTTCCTCCAACATCACAGCTCAAAGGCATCAATTTTTCTGTCATTCTTTTCCCCCCCTTTTATTAATTTTAATGAAAGTTTACAGAGACTTAGGGTTTCCAGTCGTTCATTGTTGCACTTTTCTCCATGCCCCGCCATTCACTCTTCTCCTTGAAAAGTAAAAAAAAAAAAAACCAACCCAAAACCAAAAAAACCCTCTTTCATTGTTATGCACTCCCTCCCCCCAAGTCCACTCCACACTGTGCAGCCTTCTTTCTGGACTCCTATAATGACAATAATACCCAATAATATATCCCTTTTAAACAGTTCTCTCCCTCATCTGTTTCAATGAAGTATATGTCATTCCTCCCCTCCTTCTCTGTCTTCCCTCAACCCCGATGTAAGTCCTGTTTTACAACAGTGATCCTATGTAACATTTGTCCTTTTGTGACTGGGATATTTCATCCAGCATGATGTCCTCCAGGGTCATCCATTTTGCATAATTCCTTGTTTTTCAATGCTTCATAGTATTCCATTGTGTGAATATACTACAGCTTCTCTATCCATTCGTTTGTTGATGGCCTCTTCTGTTATTCTTATCCATTGTCCAGTTCTCAGATGCATAGCAGGTGATCAGAAAGACCATGGCCTGAATCAGATTCACCTTAGTCTTCAAGTTGATGTCATTAATCCTCAATTTGTTGAAGAGGTCCCTGACTGAAAACCTTATGAACGGTAGAGGGGTACTTAGGTAAGGTGGAATGATACAGCAGTTGCAACATGGAGTTGAATATGGTAGAGCTCGTGAGGATGAAGTTGTTGCTGCTTGGTACTATCAAGCTGACTGTGACTCACAGCTCCTCTATGATAAACAGACACTCTGTCCTATCCTGTACCATCCTCACTATCCCAGCTCAAACTAATTGCTGATGTCACTGTGTCAATCCATCTCATTGTAGTGCTCCTTCTCCTTTTGTGTCTTGCCACATCAAAATAACTGAAGGTCTTTCATTGGGTGAAAGCTTTACTCCATTCAAGTAATTAAATCAGACCCTACTTCCTCAGTCACATTTTAGATGCCTTCCTTCTAGTTCTGAAATAACAGGCCCTCAAAAACTCTATGAGGATGGTATGTTGTGTGCTGTCAAGTTGTACCTTGTACATTTGGAATTTTAACTGTTTCATCTTCATCATACTAGTACTTATGTTTTAATGGCTTTGGTTTGAGTATAATCTTGGTGAGATCCCTGGTTACATTCTCTTAGCTAGCCTTGGGAAAACACCTTCCCCAGAAATTCTCTAGTTCTCAGCTTCCTGCTACTAACACCAAAAGAGCCAAGATTTGTTGAGCACTTATGCTCGACCAGGAGTTGTGCTTTTAAATTATTGCACATTCATTTATATGCTCCATTCTGATCTCATTTCATCCTCACAAAAATCCCAGGTTAGTAGGATTAGCGTCACATGGAGTTGCATGAGAATCGAGGTAAGGGCAGGTAGTTTTTATTTTGTAGGCCTTACACAATCATAGGAGGAGCTAAGGAATGCCAAACATCAGAGAAGCAGTAGCCAATCACTTGATCTGAGAATTCAGGCCTATTTAGCTCCCCACGTGGGACAAGGAGCTCATGGAGCTGTGTAGCTCCCACTTAGATGAGTCTTCAGCCAAGCATCTGGTGGGAGGCCTGAGGCTACCTGGTCAGCAGGGCCGGCATTTGAGAAGACAGTCTGGATATGGAACAGAGGAAAGTGCGGGCCAGCTGAAACCTTCTGGGCGTCTCTGTTAAAATCCATTCCTGTATCTGACAATGACACCCTTCATAGAGTAGTGACTCCTGCTTCATCTCCGCCTTTCAGATCTCATGCACGCTCTTCTTTTGACTAATCTCCAGCTTGAAACTATACAGGAAAGGGGACTCTCAAAAACCACAGTTCCCAGGGAAGCCAAACTGACACAGTCTAGTGCAGAGGTTATTCCAGGAAGCCAAGAGAAGCCAAGGACTACATGTATGATCAAGTTCCTGGAGGTCTCTTTTCAGGAGAAAACTCTACTACATCCCTAGAAAGAAATGGAGTGTTTCAGTTAGGAGCTAAGGGATAAAAGTCAAATTCTAGAAAAAAACATCTTTTGGTTGGGCGAAAGTTTTCCCTGTGAAATTTGCTACCAACAGCTTTGAAAATCTGAGGCTGCATCTCTTTGCTTCTTTAGAGCTGTGGGCGAGTGCTGAAGCTGGAGCTGGCTAAGGGAGTGGATGTCTGTTTTTTCAGTGAAGGCTGAGGTTAGACACAGTGCTCTTTAGAGGATGTTCTCACACCAGTGCACCCCCCCCCAACTAAAAATCTTTTTTAAGAGTCTTGATACTGCTTCTGTTCCAGTGTTACTCTGCACTATTCCAGAAGCAGTCTTTTAGAGATAGAGGGAATCGTGGAGAAAATATCTTCTAATTTTCCCCTTAATTGTGTTCTACAGAAAGGGGTTTAGTAGTCAAGTAGAGGATAGTGGTGGTTCATGTGGAGAATTCTTGCCTTACATGCAGGAGACCCTCTACAGAGGTTATTCCAGTAAGCCAAGCAAGGCAAGGACTGGAAGTGTGGTCTTTATGGAAAAAAGTGTAGTATCACAATTGGAGGAAGGCTCATCAACAACCAGCACTATGCAAATGATACAACCTTGCTCGCTAAAAGTGAGGAGGACTTGAAGTGCTTTCTTTAGAAGGTCAGGAACTGCAGCTTTCAATATGTGTTGTATCTCAATATCAAGAAAACAAAAATTACCACCAATACGCTAGACCAATAGGCTTGGAAAGGTGGAGGGTCAGCGAGAGAAAGACTCTCTCAGTGAGATGGATTGCCACAGTGATTGTGATCAGAGATGGTAAAGATGGCACAGGATAGGGCAAGGTTCAGACCCATTGTTCATAGGGTCTCTATCTCATGACGGCACCTAACACCAGCAGTAACCTTGCAGGACAGAGTAGATCTCTCCTACAGAGCTTTCAGGCTGTCATGTTCACAGAAGCAGAGTCACGTGTTTCTTCTAAGCAGTGGCTAATCCTGTCGCTCTTTTGGTTGGCAGCAGAGCACTTAGCCAGTTCACCACCAGGGCACCTTAATTTACCTCACTCAAAACTCAAAACTCAACACGCTGCCCATAAGTGGTTCCGAATCATGCTGACCCTCCATTGGGTTTCTGAGGCTGTAAGCCTTCCCCACCCCCATATTTTTCTTTTTTATTGATATTTTAATGAAAGTTTACAGAAAACTGAGATTTCCATTCATTCATTGTTGCACATTTTCTTCCCTACCTCCCCCTCCAAGTTTGCTTTTCTCTTTAAAAAGATTCTTTCATTGTTGCACAATTTCTTCCCTCCCATCCCCGCCCCTCCAGCCCAATTTGCTATGTACCTCTTATTTTGGACTATTGTCATCCAAGTAATACCTAGACATATATTTCTTTTAAATAGCTCTTTCCTTTATCTGTTTCAATGTAGTGTTCATTATTTATCCTCTCTTTTCTTAGTTTCTCCCCAACCCCCATGTCAGTCCTGTTTTATAACAGTGATATTACGCAATATTTGTTGTTTGGGGACTTAGATATTTCACTCAACATAATGTCCTCCAGGGTCACCATTTTGTATAATATTGCATGAGTTCCTTGTTTTTCAGTGCAGCGTAGTATTCCATTGTGTGAATATACCACAGCTTCTCTATCCATTCATTTGTTGATGGGCTCTTGGGTTGCTTTCATCTCTTTGCTATTGAGAACAGAGTTGCAATAAACATTGGTGATATATATATAATAGTTTGCTATGGCTCTGTCATAGCCCTACCTCTTTTTTTTTTAAAATAAACATGGGCATACATATATCTGCTTGGGAGGCAGTTCTGGTTTCTTTAGGGTACATTCCCAGTAGTGCAATTGCTGGATCAAATGGTATTTCTATTTCCAACTTTTTGAGAAAGTGCCATACTGCCTTCCACAGTGGTTGCACCATTTCACACTCCCACCAACAGTGAGTAAGGGTTCCAGTTTTTCCACAAGCTCGCCAGCATTTGTTGTTTGGTGCTCTGTTGAAATTTGCTGTTGTTACTGGAGTGAGAAGATAGAGGCTGTAAACCTTTAAGGGAGGGAACTATCCATCTTTCTCCCAAGGAACAGTTAGTGGATCCAAACTGCTGACCTTTTGTGTAACACTGTGCCATCAGGATGCCCTGAAAAGAAAAATAAACTCCATGACTTTTCTATTGGCCCATCAGAATTCTTCCCTCAATGGAAACATTACTTGATTAATGACTTGCATTAATAATAAAATATCCTAACCTTCCCTCCAACTTTTTGCCACTTAAGCTCTTTCTCTAGACTTCCTAATTCCTGACAGTGGTATTTGCAGTTCTTCTAGGTGGTGGTGGTTGTTGTTAGGTGCTATCAAGATGAATATGACCCATAATGACCCTGTGAAGACAGATCTGAACCCTGTCCTATCCTGTGCCATCTTCATCATCTCTGACACAAGCCCATTGCAGCAGTCACTGTCAATCCACCTGGTTGGGGGTCTTCCTTTCTTTCAGCATCCCTCCACCTTTCCAAGCATATTGTTCCTTTCCAAGGGATAGCCCCTCCTAGCAACATGCCGGAAATGTGTGAGGTGAAGCTTTATTGTCTGTGCCTCCAAGGAGCCCTCTGGCTGCATTTTTGCCTGTTTCTTCTCTTGGCAGCCCATGAGATTTTCAGGACTCTTCCAACACCACAGCTCAAAGGCATCAATCCTGCTTCCGGGTCTTTATTACTAGGTTAGAAATCCCGTAATATTTTGAGAACTCCTTCACTCTCTCAACAGGTTATGGAGTCTTTTAGTTTAGTATTTTATTTTTTTTTTAGTTTTTATTTATTTATTTTATGTGTGTACCGTCAAATTGGATCTGACTGGTACAGGAGGCGATTGTTCCTCCCTCTTCAGCAGAGCATCTGGTGGACTTGAACCGCTTACCTCTGGGATTGCAGTGCAGTTTCCTGCCACTAGGCCACCAGAGCTCGCCATGTTATGGAGTCTTAACATTAGGAATCTTATTTTGGTCTTGGACTTTCACAGTTTTGATGATGTGTTGAGGTTTGCGTAGCTGAATTTATCCTACTTGAAGCTATTTTGAGCTTTTTGGATGTGAAGTTGAATGCCTCATTTGTGGTTAGCTAAGAGTGATTTTCATTAGATTTTAAGTTCTCCAGGAAGTATAAATATGGTCTCATTTCCCTTCATGGGATCTCTTCTAACAAACACTTCCAAATGGTTAGTAAATGTCTGCTTTGTGCCCCAGGCTTCTTGCATCTTGCAACTGTCACCTGTGTGAGAAATGTCCTCTATAAATAAGCAGTTTCTGTTTCAGGCACAGTTTGCTCTTGGTATTGATGCTGCATGCCCTATCCTATCCAGGCCTCAAACTTAGAACTTGAATTAGCGTTGGTATTCAAATTCTTAGCCACACAGAGACAATCTCCTTAAGAACCAAGTTTGTCATATTAAGCTCTTTCCCCTCCTCTTTCATACTCTAGCTGCTGTCACATCATTCGTGAGAGATTTCTGGATGCGATTTGACTTGCCCTTCCATGCTGTTCTTTCCAAGTTCCCTTATTTCTTCTCTGTGATCAAGTTCCAGATGGCTCAGCAGTGCTCCCAAAATGAGTATTTTGACGGTTTGCTCCGTGCTTGCAAACCTTGTCACCTTCGATGCCCCAATACCCCTCCTGTCTCCTGCCAGCGTTATTGTAACTCGAGTAAGTAGTATTTCTTGAGCAGTTATTCATTTTGTGTGATGCCTGCTTTCTAGAGCAACTGCTGTATTTATTCATTGGATAAACGGTCCCAGGAAGGTAGTGAGATTCCTCCCCACCCCTATTCTAAAAGACAGGGTGGTGGTGGGGGTGTGGGGAGGCAGTGATTTAAATGCCTCCTGGAACAAAGGAATTATTCAGAACTAAACTTTTATACAGCACTGTTAGCAAAAGAGATTTTTAGAAAACTCTCCTCATTAGCTGCTATTTAGAATTTCAAAGTCAATGCTGGGGAGAACGGAGCGACAAATTATCTACAGCTGATGTGATATGTTATCTGATGTTCTTTTAATAAAGGTCTGAATAATTCAGTGAAGGGGTCAAATGTGATTATTCTGTGGACCTGCCTGGGCCTGTGTATGATCGTTTCTCTGGCTGTTTTCGTGCTCATGTTCTTGTTTAAGAAGATGAGTGCTGAGCTACTGAAGGACAAATTGAAAAACACAGGTGAGTTGGGTGATGTGAGTCTTTGAAGTTGATTTCCAAGGGGTGAGCCCGGCTAGTTTAAGTTCTTTTTAACGTGGAGTAGTAGTTTCACAGGGCACCCTTTAAAGTGCTAGAAAGGACAGTTATGCTACATGAACTTATTGGCAGAAAGTATAAACAGATGTGACTTGGAGAAGGTGCAGCCAGAGGGCTTCTCAGAGGCAAAGATGATACAGTTTCATGTCATATACTTTGGGCATGTTGCTAGGAGAGGCTATTCCTTGGAGAGGGACAGGCTTGGAAAGGTGGAGGAGGGACAGTGAAAGAGAGGAAGACTCTGAGCCAGATGGCTTGACACAGTGACTGCAGCAATGGGCTCAAGAATATCAGAGATGTTGAGGATGCCACGCGATACTACAGGGTTTAGACTTGTTGTTGCTAGGATTATTGTTGGCTGTAGTTGACTTGATACTACCTGTCAACAACATTGCTAGAAGTGAGCTGTCTTCATTCTGATACCGCCTTTACTGCTTTCTTTCAATGCTAGCATTTCCCCCTAATTCTTCCTTCCATAATTGCTCTATTAAACCCTCAAAACTACCTCTCTCTTTGGCTAACATTAGCACATAGATTAAATGCCATGCTGTTGGAAATGGTTAGCCAGCTTTACTCCTGTCAGGAAAAGTCTATTTACCAAGATGTGTGGCTGCGTTTTCCATACCAATTTGAGGGCAGTGTCCTTGACTGAACCATTTACTACTGAGAAATGCTAGAAATGAATAACCAGTTGCCCCTGGATTATTTGGGCAACTCTCTTAAAGACAGTAGTCTTGATTCAGTGGAGATTGAGTCTCAGGAAATGAATGTTTTACTTAAGGGCATTTTAAGATAAAAATTTTCCAGTAGCCTGTTCTCTGATTCCATACCCTTAGCTGCCATTGCCCTGTTTCTGTGTGTATTTATTCTCCATGCATTATGTATAAGAGCTACACCTTTCGGTTGCTTTCTGATGCAACAGGGAGCAGAAGATGGCTGTTCTGCATTCACCTCAATTACTCATTTTTCCTTCTTTGCCTGGAGTCCGCCAGCCAGATGAGGAATAACTCTAAGTGTGATTTTTATTTATTTTTTTAATGGAGCTACACTATGGAACATCAAGAATGTAACACATATCTTCCCAGGTGTATGATGAGGGCATAACGCCAATTCTTTCCTCATGTGATCACAAGAGGTTTTTTTTTCATCTGCTGCAAAATGCTCTGTCGGAAAAGCATCCTCTCTTTTTGGATTCTAAAGTGTCACCCACAGGCTGGTTCTGAGCTCTGTGACATATGGTAATTTCTGTCATTTTCAAGAGTATAAGATAGGCTCTAAAGCTCAAATGCTTACACAGGCCAAGTGGGTTACAAATGTGTGGGGAGGAGAGCAGGTGGAGGCTTCAGCTCCAGGGCAGCCGCGCTCTGCAGGTGTCAGCTGACAGCCTCCATGTAGGGGTGTCCTCTTCGTGTTGATGCTTTTTATTACCTTTCGGTCCTGTTGTTGTTTTTGTGTACCGTCGAGTCGGAACCGACCCATAGCTGACCTTCCAGCAGGTTTCCAGAGGCAGTAAATAGCTCAGGAGATTGCCCATCCTTCTCCTTCAGAGCAGCTGGTGGTGATTTTTATTGCCTTTTAAAAAGAGAGACCTGTCATCTCAATTAGCTGGTAAGATGCCTTAATTTTTCAGTGTGAGCAAACATTAAGCCTAAGAACCAAAATGCTTAAGAACGCTGTGTGACCGAAACCATGCATGCCTTCAAACCAAGTGGGTGGGGCCTGTGGTCGGCCAGCTTGTGACTTCCTAGTGCAGGACACACTCTTCTTGCATGAAACCTTTCACATGGCTTTTAGAATCTGGCTTCTGTGACCACCTGCTCTGGGGAGTGGAGGTTAACGTTTCTGGGTTGTTTTTTTGGTTTAGTTTTTGTTTTTTGCATAATCAGGACCAGCTCTCCAGGATGTGGCTAAGGCTGACCTGGACAACAGCAAGACTGGTGTTGATATTGTCCTCCCGAGAGGCCTGGGGTACACTGTGGAAGAATGCAGCTGTGAGGACTGTGTCAAGAGCAAACCGAAGGTTGACCTTGACCATGTCTTCCCCTTTCCGGCTATGGAGGAAGGAGCCACAATTCTTGTCACCACAAAGACAAGTGACCACAGCAATAGCCTGCCAGGTGCTGCTGATGTCATCCAGCACCACCAAGCCGCTGCCATAGTCAACCCTAACTCACGGTGAACCCATGTGGGTTGGAGGGGAACTGTACTTCTTGGATTCCCATTGGCTGTGACCTAGTTTTCCTTCATTGCCTTTTGCCCTGGATGAGAAGACCCTAATAGTTGTATTTTACGTGCCAACCTTTCATTGAGCACCTGAGTGCATTAACTCTTTGCACCACTTAGGGATTCTAAGGGCCACAGGATCCAGAAGTGAATTTCTACTAGATAAGGAACCATTTGGACTGTTGAAGAGATCCTTTGTACGTCTGGTGTCAGAAGGAAAGGCCCATGTGACACATCTCTCTAAAATGACTGTTCTTGTCAGTTGGGGGCATAACTCTTCAGCCTGGAATCCTGGAAATCTTGCTAGGGTTTCCAGAATTTATCTTATTGTTAGGAGTGCAACTGTGGGAACTTGCTTGATTTCATGATTAAATTCTTGACTTGCTTAAAAAAAAAATGAAGGCACTGTAATATGTGGCTGTGAGTTGCCCATTTCTGTGGCTAGGCCACCTCTCACTTGTAAGTGTGCGTGTGTGTGTATACAACACACACACACACACACACATACACACATACATCACACACTTCGGGGCAAACTGAGCTTTTATCTTTATTATTAAAAGAAAACAAAGTTATCCTGTGAACTTCTGTATGTGGAGCAGTACAGGGTCAGCTACACTCATTCAGTATGTGAAACATTGGTGGTTCCAAATAGACGTGTAATTATGAACCGTGATAAAGGTGTACCAGGTACTATTTTCAGACCCAAATGCAGGTATATAATAATAATCAGACCTAACATTTAAACTGTTGTTGATTTGTTTTTCATGTGCTTTAGGGGAATGTTTATAGAACAAATTATTTTCCCATTTGATAGTTTATACATAAAATGTTCTGTGGCAATGGTTGTTTTCCTCACAGTGTGTCAGAATGCTCCCCATTTCTGCCCTGGGTTCCCCGTTTCCTTTTGTCAGCGTTTTCTATCTCTTCTTACCTTTTTATATTTACTTTTGGGCAAATATAATCTTTTTGATCTTGTACACACAATCATTCTACAAACAGATTCCTTTCAGGTGTATGTTAATGGTTTTATTTTATAGGTCTCTATTGTTTAGCTGAAAGGTAAGTCTCTTGGAATGACTTCAGTTCTAGCCAGATCAGAAGGCTGTCTTAAGGCTTGGGAGTTCTTCCTGTCTCACTCTGACTAGTAAGTCTGGTGTTATTTGTGAATTTGATTTTTTTTGTACTGTGTTTTCTTCCTATTGTGTCCAGGAGCCTTGGCTGTGATCTTAGTCAGAGAGAAGGTAGGAGTGGAAGCTTAGCACCATCTAGTTTTTCTGGACTCAAGTCACACAGACTGTGGGTATTTAGTCCTTTGGACTAATTGCACCCTTAAGTCTAGTTTTCGTCACTCTTTTGCCCTGAATGAGAGGACACCAATAGCTGTCTTTTTAGTGGTTAATTGTAAGCTTTCAAGACCACAGACGTTACATGCAGGACATTATCATTATAAATGATGAGTGGTTGTAGATGTCCCCAAGTCTATGGTCCTCCACTCAAGTCTAGGACCTTGGCTGAACATGGTGCTTGATTATGTCTGAGAAGTTTCTATGTTCTATTGTGTGCTCTACTGTCTACAGTAATATACTTGAATATGTGCAACTTGAATATGATGCTACCAAGCCAAAGGTGGGTGACTTTTAATGCGCAGCCCTCGGGCCTGTCTTTCATTGTTTTTGTTAAAACATTCCTCTAGGTCGTATAGCCCTGGTGTGTCCACTTGCCGTACAGCGGTCACTTGTGGTTGCTGTGAGGCTGAACACTGTGACACTGATGTGTCAAATGCGTTAATGGTTGTTTACCCAGTGTAGACAGTGTGGCGTGGAGCTCCCCGATTAAAACAAGCTTGGAAGGAGGAGTGGCATCCACTTCCATAATAGCTTGCCTCCGGAAACCCTATGAACCTGGAGAGAGGATGAAAGGCACCCAAGCATTGAGGACTGTCCTTCATAGGGTCGCTATGGGTCGCCTGCGACTTGACGGCACTTAACAACAACAACAACCACATGTGCAATTATGTATGTAGAAATACGACCAATTGTTTATCCACATGTGAGCGTGCCCCTTTACACCCTCTCAACCTCTTTCTTGTTAGGTGCTGTTGAGTTGAGTAAGGCTCATAGAGACCCTATGAATATCAGATCTCAACCCTGTTCTTATCCTGGGCCATCATCATAATTTCTGACATGCCTGAGTCTGTTCCTATAGCTACTGTGTCAATCCACCTTGTTGTAATTTTTTTCTCTTTCAGTGACCATCTACCTTTCCAAGCATGATGTCTCTTTCCAAGGAATAGCCTCTCTTAACAAAATGGCCAAAGTATGTGAGACAAAGCTTCCCTGTCCTTGCCTCTGAGGTGAACTCTGGTTGCTCTTTCTCCAAGACATATCCGTTTGTTGTTTTGGCAGTCCATGGGGTATTCAGTATTCTTCTATCACACCAAAACTCAAAGACATCAATTTTTCTCCTGTCATCCTATGCATGATCCAGCTCCCAGATGCACAGCAGGTGACTGGAAAGACTATTGCTTGAATCAGGTGCACTTTAGACTTTACACTGACATATTGCTTTTCAGGACTTTGGAGGGGTCACTAACAGCAGACTTTCCCAGTGCAATACATCTCCTGACCTCACTGCTGGTATAAAGGTGTTGACTGTGTTTCCAAATAAGATGAAATAATTGATCATTTCAATCTTTTCTCCGTTTAGCATGATTATGCCTCTTGACCCAGTGGTGAGGATTTTTATTTCCTTGATGTTGAGATGTAATCCATATTAGATAGGGTGTTTCTAGGAATTTGTCTATTTCAGGTGAGTTCAATTTTTCTACTTCCCTGTTGGTTGAGGTAGATAGTGTGCTTCTAGAAATCTATTTCTTCATCTATTTCTTCTAGGCTTTCAAATTTATTGTAGTAGTTTATAGTATTTTTACAGTTTTTAAAACTTGGTTCTATTGTAATAGCATTCATATAAATGAGACCTCATTTCTTTCTTATTTTTTAAATTTTATTTTATTATGTGTGTGTGTATACTATCAAATCAGATCTGACAGGTACAGGAGGAGATTGTCCCTCCTTCTCCAGCACAGCATCTAGTGGATTTGAACTGAAGATCTCATTTTTTATACATTACTTCTCCAGCTTCACTTTTGCCCATTTGGCCAATGAGTTGCCTATTGTATTTATCCTTTCAAAGATGCAATTTTCTGATCATGTTGATATTGGTTTTCTGTTATCTGTTTCATTTACTTCTGCTCTAATCTTGATTCTTTCTTTCCCTGTGGTGTCTGAGGGCTTCTTTTAGTGCTATTTGAGTTGTAGAGCTAATGTTTTTATTTTAGCCCTTCCTTCTTTTTTTTGGTGTGTGCATTTTCTGTTATAAGTTGACCTTGAAGCACTGCTTTTGCTATAATCCAAAGGCTTTGGTATTTGTTTTTTCATGCTTGTTTGATTGTAGAATTTTAAAAATTTCATCTTTGACTATTTCTCAGTGGTTTTTAAGCTAGGTGTTATTTACTTGCTGCATCTATGATTCCCCTACCTCCCTTGCTCTTCTTGTTGGTTTTTGCTTTTATCGCATTATGATCAGAGAAAATGCTCTGTAGTATTTTGATGTTGTGGATTTCACTGAGGCTTGCTTTGTGGCCTATAATGTGGTCTGTTCTGGAGAAGGACTCATATGCATTGGGGAAGGTTTATTTCATTGCTCATTAGTGGAGTGTTCTGCAGTTCTGAGATACTTGGTTGCATCCTTTACATTCTGTATCTTTGAGTTTTTGATTGTTCTGTCCTTCACTAAAAGTGGCACATTGATGCTTCCTGCTACTATTATTAAACTGTTTATCTTTTTGAGGCTTAGAATTTGTTTCATGTATCTTTTACCTCTGTCATTAAGTGCATATATATTTATTATGGTTATGTCTTCTTGGTAGATTGACTCTTTTAACCATTGTACAGTGTACCTTATCTTTTTTTGTTGTATTTTGCCTTAAAGTCTACTTTATGGTCATTTTGCTATTTTTGATTTATGGAGCTCTGGTGGCCTAGTGGGTAAGGAGTTACCCTACCAATCTAATGGTACTCAGTTCAAATCCACAAGCTACTCCAAGGGAGAAAGGTGGGCAATCTTCTATATATGATATATAGTTTCTGAAAACCTGGAGGGTCAGCTATGAGTCATTTCTAACTTGCTGGCACATAACATTTGCTATTATTTGTTATTGTTTTGTGTCTTCATGTTATTGTTTTCTTAATATGCTTTTTCCTAAAAAAAAAAAAAATGCTTTTTCCTGTCCTTTATGTCTGTAAGATGTATTTTTAACCCATTTTGCCATGCTATGTCACTTTACTGATGTACTAATTTACATTCAATGTAATGTAAATTATACTAAAATTTACATTATGATAATTCATAATTATTAAGTATGAGTTTCTTGCTATAATTTTGTTGTGTCTTTTTGAAAGTATGTGTATTATTGATGGAAAGTTTCATTGCCTCATTTTTTTTGCTGAGTTCTTTGTAGATCTTTAATTGTTGAATTTATATTTATTAAGTCTGTGTTTTTATTTTGATGAGTAGGTTTGTTCACTTTCTTTTGTGATACCTTGAAATATACCTTTATCTTTATTTCTAAAGTGCTGCTTCAATGCAAGAATTTACATCACTAACTTATTTAATGGATACAATAACTCCAAAGTTTGGTGGCCCATTATTAAACTTACTCTGCAGTTGATGACAGAATCTGTAGCATGACAAGGTAACAGAGTCAATAAGAGGAAAGGCTAGGGTTTAAATCCAGATAGACTGATCTTTTTTTCCTTCTTCACATCAATGTAATTCCATTTCTGAGTTCCTCATTTTTGGGGGTTACAAGCCTGCCCTCCCTTTCAGTTTCATTATCATTGAGTAGCAGTTGCAGACTCTAGGTTTCTGAGGCATCCACTTCCTAAACAACAT